GTGTGTGTGTGTGTGTGTGTGTGTGTGTGTGTGTGTGTGTGTGTGTGCTGTAACTGACCGTCGATGGCCAGTTTGAGGTCGGTAAGCGTGCTTCGTACGCTGCTGATGACTCGCTGCATGCGGTCCACTTCCTGTCGCAGGAAGATGTTCATTGGCTGAAATGGACCCATCCTCTGTAGTTGACTTTTTACCTTCAAAACAGGATCAGCGACATCTGAACTACTTCGTCATTCAGTAGAGACAGAGACAGTACAGAGGTGCACCTGGCTCACTGAACACACCTCATGAGGGACGTAGTCAGCTGGCAGCTTCTCCAGCATCTCACTGGCTAGTCTCTGGACGCTGGCCTCCCTGGTCTCCCCGGTCCCGCCCCCGCTGTCCTTCGGTTGGATGTTGATGATGGTGCTGAGCGTCTCGTTGGCCAGGTTGGTCTGGTAGGTGATGTTAGCGTTGGGGTGGAGCCCAAAAACCTGCAAACAGGAAAATGGACACCATGTTGACCTTGGCTTCCAGCCTGCCGTGTGTGTGTGTGTGTGTGTGTGTGTGTGTGTGTGTGTGTGTGTGAGCACTGACCTCAGGTGAGTCCACCGTTGGCAGGGCCTCGATGTGCTGCAGGACGTCCTGGATCATCTTGGCCCTGCCGGGGATGCTGTAGCCCTCATAGAAGCAGAACTTGTCACTGAAGGTGTTCTCGCTGAACCAGACATGAGTGAAGGTGTTGAGGAGACGTTTGTCCAAGTCGTCCGTCACCCGGCCGCCATACTGGACCTCACCTGGGCATGGACATGAAGATATGAAGACATGAAGAGAGTCAGGGGGAAAATATCTGATGACCTAACGAGCTGATGTTGTCGCATCTTGTCGTGTCGTATCTTGATGTATCCGATGGATGGAACCCAGTCTGGTTCAGGACTTTCTGGTCCGGTATGATGAAGAGCAGAGTCAACATAAAGAGGACTGACCCAGCATGTAGCGCAGGCAGCTCCAGTTGACTCCTCTCTTTGAGTCCAGCTCGTCCAGGTGGTTCTGCACAAACTGCGTGCTGGAAGTAAAGTCTGCCTGGTTGAACTCGTACGGGATGTTCCAGCCGAGAGGACCGAACTTACGACGCTCCTGATTGGAGGACGAAGGAAGAGGCGAGAGGGAAACAGAAGAAAAGGATTATTTACAGACGATATGAATTGTTCCTCCCTTGCAGGAGGAAGTTCAGTTCAGTTCATTTCTATGAGAATCCTCTTTGCAGAAACTTTCTGTCGTGAATACCTGAATATGTTTTTTTGTCAAACGTACATCATAACTCTGTGGTGATATTAAACTGTGAACAAGCAGACAGACGGTAAACACACCTGCACAGTGGTGTGCAGGAAGGCCACAGCGTACAGCAGAGGCTTCCACTGAGGCAGGTGACTGATCTCCAACTGGTCCTGAGTCACGCTGCTGAAAGTCCTCTTCAGACCAGCTTTCATCCCTGATGAAGACAGACGAGGGACGAGCAAAGGAACACGTTTCATTCAAATCATAATAAAAGACTTAATATGTCAATCAATCAATTAGCCACGAAGCTGATCAGAAGATAATCAGAGGACAACCATCAAGGTGAAGAACTGGGGAGTTTCGTACCAAGAGGAGGTTCATTGGTGAACTTGATGGAGGACTGAAGGAAGGTGATGGGGAATCTGTGTACACACACACACACACACACACACACACACACACACACACACACACACACACTTCAATCTTAGCTCCGCTCCTGTTAAATCATCACTGAGGACGGCTGCAGGGCATCGTCTCGTGTTACCTGGGGTGCACGTCGGTCGTCATCCACACCCGGAAACCTTTGTGCGCGCTGTCTGGCGACGCCGCGGTCACCGTCTCCAGCAGCTCGTCCAGGAAGTCCAGTCCCAGGTGGCAGTTCTGGAGGAGGAGCCAGCCGCCGTCCGCCATGCTGTTGGACAATAGCCTGCGAGCGTGAACCTCCTGGCCCTGCCCCATGGAAATGGGACGGCACGGCGCCCCCTGCAGGCAGAGAGCGGGACTCTGCTGTTCATCTGTGCATCTATCTGTTCTCATGCTTACGTCTCTCTGTTCTCATGCTTACATCTCTCTGTTCTCATGCTTACGTCTCTCTGTTCTCATGCTTACATCTCTCTGTTCTCATGCTTACGTCTATCTGTTCTCATGCTTACATCTATCTGTTCTCATGCTTACGTCTATCTGTTCTCATGCTTACGTCT